TTTTTTAACCCTCCCTACTCCGGACCTAATCCAACCCATTAAGAGACCAAGAGTGAATACTAATATTTTAGTAGAAAAATATTTTAATTAGCTTCTATTTAATAGTCCCATTTTTATGTTGATAAAAATATTCCTGACCCCCCAAGACCTAGACCAGCCCGCTTAAGGTGATTATTATATTACAATAAAAAAATATTTTAATTACCTTTTATTTGATAACCATATCAAATAAATTTTTTTTTAACACCCCCCCCTCCCCCCTTCCATCCATTTTCCAGACCAAGTCATACCCATCAAGACCAAGAATAAATGCTTTCAGCCAAAAGAAATTTAAATTAGCTTTTATTTGATACCCATATCGATATTTTATGTTGATAAAAATATTCCTGACCCCTCAAAACCTATACCCGCCCCCTTTAAGTGATTATTATTATTATAATAAAAAGATATTCTAATTACCTTTTATTTGATACCCATATCAAAAAAACTTATTTTTTACCCCCCCCTTCACCCACCCCCCAGACCAAGTCATACTCATCAAGACCAAGATTAAATGCTTAGAGTCAAAAGATATTTAAATTAGCTTTTATTTGATACCCCATATCGATAATTTGTTTAAAATATTCCTGATCCCCCAGACCTAGACTCGCCCATTACGGAGGGGATTGACCTCCAGTTGAATAGATCTTTTGATTAGCTATCGATTGATACATTATGTTAGACATAACCTATTTCATAAGGTCAATAAAACAACATTGAAAATTAATAAATAACAATAAAATTAAAAAGAAATTAAACGAAACGCGCGTAAAACGCTTTTTAAAATAAGATTCCTCTTTATATCACGGTTCAAACTGAAGTAATTTTATTAAGGAGGTAAAGGTTATAGACACATAGGCCTAGACAGGGAGTTAAATAGAGAAATTCTCCTACTAAACCTTCTTTTTAAATATAAATTTAACATCCCCTATAGAGCAGTTCCTCCTTTTCTTTTGGTAATCGAGTCAGAAGTGTCCTGGACATCAAGATCCGAACAGAGTACCTCGGACAAAAGTACCCTAAAATTCATTGGACAAAAATAAACCCGGAGATTCATCCGGGCAGAAAGGCACCAAACATAAAGACTCTTGGATAAAAAAGACACCATTTAATCATTTTTTTTTAAATGTTAAGAAAAAGGGAAAGTTTAAAAAAAAATTATTAATTTTTTTCATACATTCACTAAAAAAATATTTGGTTAATAAGTTGTAGCAGTGTTCGCTGGTTTTAAAAGATGGTTCACATATGTGAATTAATGGGATATTGTTATTTAAAGTTTGTGACTACAAAATAAAACTCGTTTTAAAGGCTATAATCCAAAATTTTTAAAAAAATTCGAAAAATTTTAAAATTGTATGTTTAAGTATTAAAATTTAGAAAATTGTCTAGTATGTTTTGTAAATGTTTTTATTTTTATGTTTAAAAATATAGACTTATCTTATTTATATATTTTCATTAAAGTTTCGAAAGTATTAGTATATTGGATTCGAACTTTAATATCATCATTTTCTTTTGTAGAAAATTGAGTAAAATTTAACAAAAAATAAAATTATACCTAAAACGAATTATTCACTATTCGATTTTATTCCATAAGATTAGTATTTTATGAATAAAAAATTATTTGATTTTAATCGAATAAAGAAAATATATTATCTGTGGAATATTTTTTTTTATCTATTTATTATTCGATCGAATTATTCTTATTATTTGAAATAATTTATAAATATTAGAAATTATTCGTAATTAAATATTCCAAATTATTTGTTAATATTTCAAATTATTCAGAAATATTCAAACCCAGAAATATTTGACATTATTATTAAGTATTTAAAAGTTCCTTGAAAAGTTTTTACTTTTTTTTCAACATCTATAAATCACTTATTAAATTTTAATACCCTTTTTGAATATATTTTTGAAGAATTTAATTTTTGGCATCGAATATTCGATGAATCAAATCCAATAATGTTTTCATTAATCGAACGGATACGAATAAGGAATTATTTAATTCGTACTAATACGAATAATATAATTATTCGATTCGAAAACACGAATTATGTAAATATTTGATTTGATTCGTATTTTTGTAGAAGATTCAAAGAATTTTTTATTTTTTTATGTAAAAAATTTTAAATAAGAATATTAAATTTAAAAACTTTTTTTTTATTGAGGAAATATTAATTAAGCAGAAGAAATAATTTGTGTCCTAAATAAGAGTCTTCTTGAAAATTAAAAAATATTAGATAACTTTTTAGCTAAGTTCTATATCTCTTTTAAATTATTGAGGAATAATTTTGATCAAATAAATTTATGCTCGAATTTAAGCTCTTCACGAAAATTAGAAAGTATTAATAATAAATTTTTAGTTGTTTTATATTAGCATTGTTGAACGGCCCAATTAAGATTATAACCACAATTATATTTTGTAAGCCTGTAGATTTTACACATATATGGCAGAAAGGTTTTTACCTCTATTTGCCAAATCTCCAATTTTGCATAATATTAATTTTGCTAAAATCTTAATCAGGCCGTCCAAAACATCACTATTTTATATATCTCTTATATTATTCAAGAATTTGTTGATCAGACCATAATTACTTCTTAGATTTATTAATGTTTGAATTTTTGAATTATAGAAAAGTTTTTTTTTTAAATAAAAAATATTATAAAAAAAATAATACAATAGCAACAACCCAAAATGATTTATATTTTAATTTCTATACCTAAAAAATAAATTCTCATCATATACATAAAAAAATTTATAAACAAAAAATAAAATATTATTTGAAAAAAAACATGATCTAACTTTGTCTGTTTATAAAATATATAAAAAATGTATCAGACATGACTTTGCAAAAAGTAAAAATAATTATATAAAATAGTTAAAATTAAATTTTATCCACGCCTTTATTTCATTTTTTTCTGGAATTATTTAGAAGGGTAAATAAATGAGAAAGCCGTTTATTTTAACTCGTTATAACACCTGGTTCTTGAAATATAGGGGCTCAAATCTGTAAAAATTTTAAAATGCTTATATCTCAAAAACTTTATATATCATATTGTAAGTAAAAATATTCTCTAAAGGGCTATCAAAAAATAAAAAAATTGGCGCCAAATTGAGTCTTTAACATTCGGTTTACCTATAATGCTTTACCTGTATTTTTAAGCAAAAAAGGGAGTTTGTTTTCAATGATATAATAAAATATATATTTATTAGATAATGTGAACAGGATTTCCATTAGTGTTGTTAAACGGCTCTTTTTGAGCCGATTTTTAAAAACGGCTAAATCAATATTTTAACCAGAAAACAATTGTCTAAGCATCGAGTTTTCGATAATAGATGTCTAAACCTTTGTGCGATCTATCCGGATCTGGACTTTGGGTCTGTGCTCGGGGTTCGTGCTCAGAGCTGGTTTTGTCGATATTTTAGACCCAAACCCCGGGTCTGGGCTCTACACAACCAACCAATTAATAACACTACTTATGCAGGCAAAAATAATTTTATATGTAAATAGGAAAATAACAAGTGCAGAAAAGGCTAATTTTATGTAATATTAAAGAACTTTTCATTCACTTTAGAGAGACTCATAACGATATACAGTTAGGTCTGAGTAGATTTGCTTTCTTACGACCTAAAAACTGTGTTTTAGCAGGTGGTCCAGGTACAAATACCATGTGTATCTGCACATTACATTAAAATTTTAAGCTTTTTTTAATAGGTGGAAAATTAAAACAGCTAACAAACAATATTGGTCATTATAATTATCCTGTGTAAAAACAGAACAAATAAATTAAATAATAACTAATATGAAATATTCGTCCTCTAGTCGACTCAATTATATATTTCGTATTCATGGTCAAGTTCAAAGTCTAAAGTATATAAATGTAAAAAATAGATCACAAATATCTTAATTAAAAAAATTTGAAATATTCGTCCTCTAGTCGACTCACGTTCATATAAGTATAACTATTCGTCCTCTAGTCGACTCAAGTATATATTTTGCATTCATAACTCAAGTTGGAAGTCTAAAGTAAATAAATGTAAAAAACAGAACAAATATCTTAATAAATAAAAAAACTAATTTGAAATACTCGTCCTCTAGTCGACTCAAGTTCATAGAAAACTATTTGTCCTCTAGTCGACTCAAGTATATAATTCCTATTTGCAACTCAAGTTGGAAGTCTAAAATAAAAAAAAGTAATAAACAACAAATTAATAATAACTAATTTGAAATATTCGTCCTCTAGTCGAATCAAGTTCATAGAACTATGCGACCTCTAGTTGACTAAAGTATATAATTCCTATTTAAATCTCAAGTTGGAAGTCTATAATAAAAAAATGTAAAAAAACAGAACAAATCTTAATTATTAATAATTAATTTGAAATATTCGTTCTCTAGTCGACGACTCAAGTTTATAAAAATATTCGTCCTCTAGTCGACTCAGGTATATAGACTTGAGTTCACGACTCAAGTCAGTTTGGGTCAATTTTTTCGACCCAAAACTTAGACTCAGTTTCGACTAAGTCGACTCGACTCAATCGATTAACAACACTATTCGTATATACAACACTTTTACGAATGAACTTTCGAGTTTGACAGATGCAAGTAGAGTAGTGATGATATCAAAATTTCTTAATTTTTCTTTAATTTGATAATAAAATTATTAGAAAAATTCTTAAAATATTTTATATAAATACTTTTTGATTTTGGAAGTGAATGTATGTAAAAAAATAAGGGTGGTCCAGAATACATTGAGTAGAACATAAGGGGAAGACATTAGTAAAAAAAAGAGTACTGAATAGTTTAAAAAAAAAGAGTTTATAAGAAAAATCAATCTATATAAAATAGATAAGCATAAGGGTGTATGTAAATGAAAAATTACTACAAGAACAATATTTAAAGTTGTCGGGATGAATAGGTATATAATGATAAATTATATAATTTGTAAATTTAGATTGCATATTAAGTATTATATATTTGTTTATACAGTGTTCTATATGACAAAATCTGGAGATTGCATAGCTTTGGGTCCTATATCGTTATTTTTGATGTATGGATGAACACACACTTCACTAAGTGTAATTCTAAGTTTGGGATCGTTTCTTAGTAGCTATTTTATCATTTAAAATATTTTATGATTCAATCAAATACCTTTATGTGTCTTCCTCTTTTTTTATCTTTCTTTCTTTCATTCAATTTCTCTAAATCTGTCTTTGCCATTTTAAAAATAATATCATAAATATGGTAAATATTAGACACAAAAACTAATTCCCCATTTACTTTCTTAAAATTCATTCACTCAAGCAATTTCACTAGTGTTGTTAAGTCCTTTATAAAAATAAATTAAATCTTAAACTAACATTAGACAGTTGTATTTGGAAGACTTTTAACAGTATTCCTTTTTATTGTACATCTATTCTATTTCTCCTTATAATATATTTTCTATCTTCCGCTAAATCAACCTATTTACTATATTGGAAGAGGGTTAGTTCCACTCATAAATTAGTTTCATCTGGGTACAAGGTTTGTCGGTATCCTGAGAAAAATCGGCATAATTATATGAAAAATAGACCTTCATATAATTCACGTTCGCTCATTTTGGGCAGGTCTATGACCAACGTGCAAGATAAGATAAAGTTACCTTTGAAACATAACTAGTTACAGTTACATTGGTAAAAATATAACAAGTTACAGTTACTAGTTACATTTTTATAAATGCAACTAGTTATTAGTTACAGAATCATTATAAGTTATTTTCTGGTTCTTATAAATTTTAAAATGGTCTATTAATTCTAAAAATGGGTTTCAAGTTATGTAATAAGTATTAATGATTTTTTCACTCAAATATTTGCAAATATGATATTTATATATACAGTTGATGCAAATTATTTTAAACTTATTGCAAATAAAATTGTGATAAAAAGAATAATAATGAAAGGGTATTAGATAATTTATTTTTTATTTAATTAAATATGCATGCATTCTATTGTATAATTTGGAAAACACTAGATCATAGAGTTTACCTATTTTTTTGGAAGGCAAAAAAATCCTGAACAAGAGGACCATGACAAAAATACCCTAGATAATTCCCCAATTTTCAAAAAAATTAAATTAGCCTATGGAATGTAGGTTATATGATTAATCTTTTGTTGAAGGAAATTATATTTGATATCTGCATTATAATATTTTGTGTTTCTTTCATAGTCATTGTCTTTTCTTATTAATAAGTAATGATGACTAATTTAGCATTTTATACAAAAATTATTTAATTCCAAAATAATCTAAATCTTTGTCTTTCCTTATACTAAGTTTTATGCTCTAATTTAGAAAATTTAAAAAATACATTTATAACTTATGAAATTCCAAAGTATAAGTATTGCCAGCAACTTGAAGGCAAAAAATATGGAAAATATTGTGTTAAATTTGTAAGGAAATATAATATAAAAAATAGGTTTATTACTTGAATTTGGTTACAAAATAATAAAACCCAGCAATGCAACAATTTAAGAAAAGAAAATCTATTTGGACATATACTTTGTAAACACAATGAGACATTTAAACAAAATTTAAAATTAATTTATCACAAAGCTAGTCCCTTGGAACCAAGGTTTACCCCTCGTTTGGGATTGTGTAGATCGTTTTGCTAGATCTTTTACTGTTAACTCCATCACTAAAGCAGAAAATACAAAAAATAAATATAGCCACCTCAGGCACATACGCAGGAATTTGGTCTGTGGGGAGGGGGAGGGGGGGTAATAATTTTTTTTAAGAAATATTATTATTTTTAAAAATATCAAGCATAATTTTATTAGGACTAATAACTATTTCTAATACACAATTTTAAATTAATGTGAATTAGAAAAAAATTATATGTATAAACCGGCATATAAAAAACTATAAAATAAATGTGAATTAAAAAATATTAAACGGATATAACTGGCAGTAGATGAAAAACTATAAATTAAATGTGAATTATAAAATATAAAGTGAATATAACCACTATAAGAATCACTTAAATGACCCAAAATAAAAATTTGAATTTTTTGAGCCTTTAAAATTTATATATAAAGTATAAAAAATTTAAATGTTAAAAATATAAATTAATACACAAAAAGTTTCTTAGGAATAATTGTATTTTGTATGTTATATATTTACAATGTAAAATCCAATCTTCGTTGGGATTGTGCCTATTTTTCAATTATCTCATCCTTGCTTGTTGTTAAATACCTATGAATATTCAAAAGATCCAAACCTTTCAATCTACTTTCAGAAGTTTTACTTCTTGGTATGTTTTTCAGAGACCTGCAGGCCCGGCCCCCGGGCCAGACCGTATTTTAATTTTTTTTAAATATACCCAGGCTGGGCCCCAAATTTGGGCTGTATATTTTAAAACAGCCTATATTTGAAATCGTTATTATTAGCTATAAAAATCAGAAATAAATATAATTTATTTTTATTTTATTTTAAAAACAACCAGGCCAGGCCTGCAAATTTTTTTTTTTATAATACGGGTGGTGCTCTGAAAATGGTACCTCTACAGGGCTCTGTTATTCTTCTTAAAAAAGAGAATGTTCTCTCATTAGTTTACTAATGGGAAGGGTTGCTAAGATATATAAACCCTTTTAATACATAGGGAATATAATCTAAAATGTGTTTGAAATAATGCAGAGCATCCATAGCATTTTTTGGGACTATATCATCCATAGTTAATCTTATAAACACACTTATTTAACTAATAAGGCATCATAAGATACTTTAACATCTTCATGATAAAAATCTAACAAATATTTTTTTTCTATCACCATCTGAAAAAGGTCGGGAAGGCTTTTGTGGAAGTAATATTTTTAGATTGGTAAGTGTTGTATGATGATTTAAAAACTATTCATTTATTTGGGTTATAAATATATCTAAGATATAAATATATAGATATACCCTTCTACTGATCCTATATTAATGTTTTAACGATGAGCTTGCCTTGCTGCAAGTCGAAGGAGACAAATATAAAACACGTATAGCCCTGCTTTTGACTCAACAATAACATATAAAATATGAAATTCTTCATCAACATTAGCCCTAATATCCTTGAGTTCTAATAAAATGCTCTCAGCTATTCTCATCTTCTTAATCAAGTCAATGTGATGCTTTTGAAAAGTAATAAATAAAATAGTTGTATAATTAAATAATACATTCTAACGAGAAAAAAAATTTGTAATAAGCATTGAATCCAATAATTTTCTTGCTTCTGAGGAAATATTTCTTTCAGGCCATATTAAAATTTCAGTAATAGCAAATAATCGGCTCTTATAACTCATAAAAGCTGTTACTGTTTGATGGCGGAGAGTCTATCTCGACAAAGTTGCAATTTTATTTTCCGTGTTGGACAAGAAGTTTCAGAAATAATTATCATTTGACTAGAAATTTGAAAATGGTAGATAAATATTACGCTACTAGAAATTTGAAAATGGTAGATAAATATTACGCTACTAAAAATTTGAAAATAAAGTAAATATTACGCCTGAAAACTAGAAATCGAAATTAATTGATAAAATAACTTACTAGATGAATGTGATAATAAATGTAATTAAATATATATTTAATATGAGATAGGAATAAATATTAACCAATATAAACAATAATATTTTTGAAATTATATCCGGCATCTGCATTTTTGGCTTTGGGGGGGGGGATTTGTCCCCCTGCCCCCCGCTGTGTACGGGCCTGAGCCACCTTAATTATCTTTTCTTTATTCGGGTTGTTTCAGACACCTGTCGATCATTTGGATGCCAAGCTAAAATTATTAAATAATAGTGCAAAGGTTGCATCACAGGTGATCCAAAATAAGGCTTCTACTTACAACAAAGAATATCAATAAATTTGTCGATCCAACTGTATATCTATACATGGGTCATTAAGCCCCACCGACCAAACATAAATATATTATTTTATTTCTCTTCTTTTAATTACATCTCATCTATAATATATATAAAAGCTTTGTCACTCACAATTTATTATATATTTAAAAATTCACGATTTTTTAAAAGGGTCATGAGGGTCATGGGTTCGAATCCCAACAAAGATTTTATTTCTTCATAATCCAACTTGGTATACTTTTTTTAAATTATATTAATTTCCTTATTTTTTTAATTATTATTATTTATGTACTCAATAATTAATTTTGCTAGATGAGGGATTTGTAAATTGTTATCATGGAAACAGATTTTGGATTTGGACTTATTAAGAATGAGTCTTTTAAAATTGGCTTAAAGAAATTGAAAACCAATTATGAGCATCTGTTCCATCATCAAGATACCAAATATTTATATCCAAATAAAATTTAGGTTTAAGATAATGGATGAGATAATGAATACCAAGTGTGCCCCTGCTTTTCGCCAGAATCTAAGCCATGTGGGCCGAATAAAGTAGTTATAAGGTTACAGTATGTCTCTAGGAATTTTGAATAAACAGGAAATTTGGGATAAAAGCAATCTATGAAATGTTTAGGAAATTTGCAATTGAAAGCATTTCTAAAGTCTACTTTGATAATAACCATGTTATGAGGATTTTGGATATAATATAAATGGCATGTGAAGCTATTTTGCCTAAACACCAAATTCTAATTGATACGTATATTTAATAAGTTAAGACCCTGGGTTTTGACCCGTGGCAATTATTTTTGCTAATAATCTTCTAAATAGCCCATTACAATGGGGTGGATACCACCACAGTGTTTGTGAGATAATCAGATTTGCCCCCATAATTGATTCGAATCTATGATGGCAGGTTTTTTTAAAAAAGAGTATTTAGGAAGGTTTTAAAAGCATTTAAATGATTTTGAGATGTAGATTTTATAAGAAGTGAGAGGGCAAAAACTATTGCGCCTAGATGTGGAAAATTTCTTTAAAGAATTGATAAATATCAAAACTCATATTTTTTTATTATATATTTACCATAATATGTTTGTCCATTTTCTCTAAAAATTTATAGAAATCTTGGAAGAATGAATACGGATAATCTATTTCTCTCATTTGACTATTCTGATTCATCCATCGTCAAGTAGAAAATTCTGATTCCGCGTCATCCTTGACGGGCTATCAGCTAGTATTTTTATAAAGTTATAGTATATTAATTATAATTTTAATATTCTTTTAATAAGAGATCAATTCACATATTAAAAATAAAATTAATTATTTGAATATATTATTTAGATTTATACATCGATATTTTTTAAAGTAACTAGTTACTTTTGGCAGTTACATTACAAAAAATATAACTAGTTACAGTTACTAGTTACAATTTTTAAAATATAACTTTAGTTATTTTTTAGCAAAAATGTAATTTTAACTAGTTACTTTAACAACACTAAATTTCACTTTCCCGTTTTTTATTTGTTTCTATAAAAGTCACTTTAGAGATAAAACACTTTTTAAAAAACCTATTAGCTGGTTTAGATTTTAATATATTTGTGTGAATGTAAAAAAAGGCTTTCATTTTAAATTAATTCTTTTACTATTTCCTTCCATTCTTTCTCAATTGCTATCTTGAATAAAAAAACTAATATTAAGTGAATAAAAGACAGGATTCCACATCTCTTCTTCCTTTTATCAAGAGATGCACTGATACCCCGATACTTAGCATGGTATTGACGGATATAAAAATAATAGTGTAGTATATTTATTCATAAAAATTAAGGGAAATAAAAAAAATTAATAACACTTCCAATTTTCTTTTTGTTTTCGGTTTAGAAATTTTTATATTAATTTTTTAAATTAAATTTATAGAATAATTATGACCAATTTTTTTTTTAAATTATGAAGGTAATTTATCATTTTTGAGTATCAGCTACTGGTGTCGATAAAAAATTTAAAATATCTGCCGATAAAGTGAGTATCGGTGCATCGTTACTTTTATTCATTCACTCTCATCGTTTTCCCTATTAAGGTGACTAGAGATAAAAACTTTTTGGTTAGACTTACTTTGGAAATAAAATCTTTGGCTAAGAAACCAATCTTTGGGGGATAAATCGCTAAGCCTTTACGTATTTTCCTATAAGTTTCATCCCTATCGTCGCTTTCAAAGGGAGGGTAAGCCATAAGTAATTCGAAGGTTAAAATGCCCAGAGACCAATTGTCTACTTTTTCGTTGTAAGCTCTGGAATTAACCATTTCAGGGCAGATATAATCTAATGTCCCACACATAGTTGTTCTCCTGTATGTATAGGAATTTTAAAAAATAAAAACAAAAAAATAGGAACATAGTAAAGGAATTAAAAGAATAGAAATACATTGTTTAAAAAACATATTTGATAACAGTGACCTAAAACAGGGCTGTAACTAGGATATGAGGGCCAAGCCCCAATAAAATTTTCTGCCCTCCCTTCACCCATTTCTAGTAGTAAAATTTTTAAAAATTGATTTTTTCTACTTTTTAAAATGAAATTGTAATTTTTAAAAAGTAAAAATATCACATAAATGTTACTTAATACTACATAATCTAGAACTTATATTTTATATTTTACTATTTATATCAAACCTGCAGGCCCGGCCCTAAGCCCAGCTCGCACATTTTTTTTAAATATACCCGGGCTAGGCTGGGTAGTATATTTTAAAATCAAAGATTTTAAATCGCCATTATTAGTAGTGATGTTAAGGTAACTAGTTACATGTAACTAGTTACTTTGGCTAAAAAATAACTGTAACTAGTTATATTTTTTAAATTGTAACTAGTAACGTAACTAGTTATAATTTTTGAAATGTAACTGCCAAAATTAACTAGTTACTTCTAAAGATATATTCAAATAATTAATTTTATTTTTAATATGTTGTGAAAATGTCTGATTGTTATAATTTCCCGTTCAAATTTACCTTAATACCTCAAAGTGAATCCCAGACGAATGAATCATGCTCAAAACCAACATCACTTGATGTAGTTGGATTTTTTGACCTAAAGCGACAAAATATTCTGGATAATAAACTTATAGAAAACTTTATCAAATCTAATAACAACACTTTTTCTTTATATAACGATTTTCCAAAGTTAAAATTACTCTTTATTAAATATAATGTTGTTTTAACATCAAATGCTCCCGTAGAGCGCTTGTTCAGTCTAGGTAAGCTCATTTTTGGAGATAAACGAGCACGTCTCCTAGATAATAACTTGAAATTAATTTGTTGTTAAAAGCAAATAAAAATTTATTAGATTCTAATTTTTATGAAAAATAAATGTTTTTTTTTCAATGCAAATATATATTTTTATCTTCGATGTAAATATTCAATTTTGCGATATTTTTTTATATAAATAAATTGTATATTATTTTAAATAACTGATTATACTTTGTTTATCCCAATTTTTTTTATATTAAATAAATGCATTCAATAAATAAATGCGCATATGAATGATGTATAAAGTAAGTAACTAATTACTTTTGAAAATAACTGTAACTAATAACTAGTTACTTTTGTAAAAATGTAACTAGTAACTGTAACTAGTTATGTTTCAAAAGTAACTTTTAACATCACTAATTATTAGCTATAAAAATTAAAAATAATTTTTTTTTAAAAAAATCTCGGGCCGGGCCTGAAAATATAAAACCCAGGCCAGGCTGGGCCGTGCAAATGGTACCTCTGCAGGCCTTTGATTTATATATTGCATAAATATACCAAATAGAGATTCTAAGATAATTATTTACGATTCCCATTTTAAAATGATGAACCTATTATTAGCATATGAGAAAAAGATTACAGAATTAATATGATCGAAATATGCAATTTCAAACATTATGGCCCTATAATGCCCCCCCCCCCAATAAAAAATTATAGTTATGGCCTTGTACATGAACGAATGATATATAATATTACAATATCTTAAGTTACATATTGTCTTTTTGTTATCCATTTTACAGAATTAGATATTTATTAGATTTAATGGAGTTTAATTTACCTAAAAATATAATAATCCAAGAAAGTTGTTAAAGTAAGAAGTGTACCAATACCAAATATCGATATTGATCAATCACGCAATTTTTTAAATTCATTTATTTGAATCCCCTTTTCTTCTTATGGGATGACATTTGGGCGGGTTCTTATATGGGCGGAACTTAAATAATGAGAGAGATAATTTTTTAAAGAAGACAAATTATTCGAGCAGTTTTTTATTAAGAATGAGCAGCAAAATATATCAAAATTGGTAGTATTTTAATTATGGGCAGTAGAAAAGACATTTGGTAGCTATTTTCAATTTTGGGTAGCTAATATTTAATTTTCAAATTTTTTATTGATTGGGGCAGTATTTAAAATAAATAGGTAGTTTTAAAATAATTTGGCAGGTACTTTAAATTTTTGGTCAGCTAATAAATAATTTCCCAGTTTTTTTTATTTACTTGGGGAGTTTTACTTTTTACACTATTTATTTTAAATATAAAGTTTTAAAAAAAAGAGGAAAGCAATGAACTGCAAGAAATAATCTTCTTTATATGATAATGTAACATTTTACATATCTCAAATTCTCAAAATTCCTAGTGATGTAAAATTAGAAATAAAAACTTTATTTAAAATGGGTCTCAAACCGAAAATGATTATGGAAAATAATGTCAAAGTTTTATTTAAAAAAAAATTTATTAATGAAATTTACGAAATCGAGTTTGGACGCATAATGTATAAATACGAGAATCAGTTTTTTATTTTTGGAAATTTTTTTTGACTTTGGATGCACCCTTAATATTACCATTAATAAATCAACTAATAAATTTTTAAATGAAACTAAAGACAAAATGGGCCATCATTTATAAGTTTAGGGGAATTGGAAGAATTGCTTACTGAAAAATTATTAAATTTCTGAAGATGCTGCCTTTATAACAAATTTGAAACAATGATAACGTTTAATAATTTTTTATATCTACAAAATGATTCCTCAATCTAGTCAGTCCTTCAATTAAGCTCTATGTGGATGCCACCTATAAAATTATGTGGTAGGGTCCCCTTTGATGGTTGTAGGTACTTCTATAGCAAATAGTCATTTCCATTATTTTTGTTGAAGTGTGTTGTTATGAAAAAAGAAAATTATGAATTTTAACTGTGTAAAAACAGATATCTGGACCTTGTGTTTAAATAGAAGTATTAATATCAGATGCTGCAAAAGCCACTCACAATGGCTTTACTTTGGTTTTTCATAACAACAATTGTCATGTGTTAGGCTTATGTTTATGGAAATGTATCATCCCTAGTACCAAAATTACATCAAACAAAAACGAAGCTAATCGACCGCCAAAGGTTAAAAAGGAACTTGTTGTACAATAACATGCAAGTTTTAATTATTATTTAGATATAAATATTTATATATTATTTTCTATATTTTAGATTTGCTCAAATCTCACAATGTGCAATAATTAACTGCAATTCCATTATGGCTAATTTTTGAATTTGTTAATTTACTATTTTTATATATTTGATAGGTTAATTTTCATAAAATATTCTTGATAAATTATAATAAAAGTGATATTTGTATAAATGTTTAAAAGGCTCTTGTACAATAACATGCAGGTTTTAATTAAATATTTTGATTTTTCATATTTGATATATTAATTTTCATATAAAATATTTGATAAATAAAAAGATATTTGTTAAATACTAAGTAACTTTGAACTGCACAACACGATTTTAGTTAATATTCAACTAATTTTTTTTACTTATATATTATATATCTTAATCTTGTAAAGTTCAATAGTGTCAATACTTAGCCATCAGCTCAGTATAAATAAAAAAATGGTATGGTACACCTCTAATTAAAATTTAATAATTACTTTAAACTAGGAGAATGGACAGACCATCCAAAATCAGCTAACTTAATTTGACCACACATCATTATCAAAATATTTTCTGGTTTTATATCTCGGTGTATAACCTTTTTGGAGTGACAGTATTTGAGGGCTGCAGCTACTTGGGATATAATCTATTATATATATATATAATATATATCAAAGATAAATTTTATTTTTAAATGTATATTCAATTTAAAAACTAAGTATTTATAACTTAATCATGTAGGTTTAATAAATAAATAATAATCAGACTTATCTGCAATGGCAAAATTTCCCCCAGATGATAAAATGCATTTTTTTGAAATAACAAAATATTTATTAAACCTGCAAGCCCAGACTAAAGCCATAAATACTTGTATATATACCCAGCCCAGGCCAGGCTAACAATTTTTATAAAACCCAAATATGAATAAATAAAAGAGCCAAACTGGATCTTGGCTTGGAATAAGACTGTCTGGACTGAGCCTAATACCAGAACCCTAAAAATATTATTTTTTGATTGACCCACTTGTTGAGGTTGGTATATTTTTTGACCACACCTAGGATTTTGAGGTTGTATAAAACCTATGATTTAACCAGTGACGAAACATCCATAGAAGCAAGGGAAGCATTGCTCCCCTTGAAATTTTTCTTACAAAATTCAACTGACTTTGTTAAAAAAAATATTTAAGTTAAAAAGATTAATATTATTTTTACTACATTAAAAAATTTACTATTATATTTACTACGTTAAAAAATTTACTATTATGTCAAAAAAAAACATAATGGAAGCAAATTATTGCTTATTTTTTAAAAATAAATATTTTAAAAAATAATGTTTTGTATGATATATTTTTGGTGTAACTTTTTTTATTATGTTAAAAAATATATACATGAGGGAAGCAAGCTTAATATTGCTTATTATTTTAATAAATAATGAAAAAATCATGTTATGGTAATTGTTTAATTTTATGATTAAAATATAAGTGGGGAAGCAAATAAAAAAATGCTTATTTTTTTTAATAAATAAAAGAGAAGGAAGACCAAAACTAATTTTACAAAACTTAAAAAAAGAAATCAAAACTTGCATTCGTAATTTTTGATAAATATGAAAAATATGAATTGCTCACTGGATATGAATTTTCAAATTCTCTATATTGTTGGTCATGCCTATTATTCCCAAGGGAAAAATATATTTAGAATGATAAAGGATTCTCGGATATGAATAATTTTTCAAAGGCAGAAGGCATGAAGAATCAACCACTCATTTGCAGTCGATGATTCAATCAAAAACATTTGGCAAAAATCGTATTGAAAATATGATAGATTCAATGCGCAAAATATCAATTGAAAAGGATAATTCAAAAGTCAAATCAAAGAGAAATATTAAAGATATTGATCAACTCTATATGTTTTCTTGGAATTCAGGAGCTCGCATTCCGTGGTGATGATGAATCTTCTAGTTCAATAAATAGAGGAAATTGTATTGAATTAATTTATTTGTTCACTGAAGAAAATTTACCATTGAAACATCATTTAGAAAATAGTACAGTTTTTATTGGACTATCAAGCGATATTCAAAATGATTTAATTAATTCAATTTCATATGTCTTACACCAAAAAATATTAAATGAATTGGAAGAAACGGAATTTATAACAATAATATTAGATGAAACAACTGATATAAATAATACATCTCAACTGGGTTGTTCTTCAATATGTTCTAAATATGGGACATTGTATGAAAGATTTATTGAATTCTTTGATGTTACTATGCATCGAGATGCTAATTCTTTATCAAAATTTGTCATTAAATTCTTGAATGATAAAAAAAGATTGTTAAAAAATTAATAGGTCAAAGTTACGATGACACAGCAGTTATGTAATACGATTCATGAACTACAAGCGAAAATAAGAGACGTCAATCCTTCAGCACTTTATATTCATTGCTTTTCCCTTAAGTTAAATCTTATTATCAAAATCTTGCAGCAAAATTAAAGAATGTAAGGTATTTTTTTGCAACTTCATCTGGTTTAACCAGTTTTTTTAGTACATCATATAAGAGAACAGCGGAATTTGATAAATATGTCAGAAAAAGATTACCACGAGTAGCCCCGACGAGATGGAATAATGGTTGGCTGGTTCAAACAGTTTTCAAATATTTGAAGGATCTAGTCGTTTTTTTTGAAAGTATAAATGATGGAGAATCTGATATTGTTTGGGTGGCTATTTAAATATATTAAATGACTCAAATTTTCTAAATTTATTATTTCGATAAATTTTTCCAGAATCTGATTTATTATTTAATATGATATACTTCAAACTAAAATTAACGATATATCTTATTGTCTTAAAAATATTAGAGATTTCAAAAATTCTGTTAAATAAAATATAGAAAACGATGTTATTTGGAGAAATTTAAATGTAAAAGAAAAGATTGAAGACAATTTAGATAAAAAACGTAATAGATCCCCAGATTTCTCAAACAATAGAATTTTATAAAAATTTGATAATTAAAATAACAGATACATTAAAAAAATATCAAATTCGTCGAATTGTTAGATATTAGTGAATTCCAAATATTTAATCAAAATTTCCCAAAATATTTATTAGACAATTTAAATAACACTTACTCATTTTTCAACCTACACAAGCTGGAAACTGAATTAAAGGTAGTGTTTTGGGATGATAAATTTAGAAAGAAAAAGAATGTTAATTAAATACTTGAATTTTTAATATGTACCAATTTGATGAGTTTTAAGAGTTTTATGCAAATTCATCTTAACTTTGGCTTCAACAATAGCAAGTGCAAAATGGGGTTTTTTGTCTTTAAAAAGAATCAAATCTTATTGCAGAAATAGGATGAGTCAAAATCAATTATCGAATCTATCTTTGATTTCAATTAAAATAATTATTATAAAATTTAAAATCTAGCAATAACTTTTATGATTCAGTACTTGATCATTTTACTCAAAAACAAAGACAAATTCCACTTATTTATAAATCTTAATTTTTTTTATGGTTTGACTAATAAATAAAAATAAAAAAAATTTTTTGATTGCTTCCCTAGTAGTAAACTTGACACCTTGTCACTGGATTTAATAATATAATGAAATGGGTTTTACTTTTAAAATATGGCGTGCTCAAAATTTTGATCTCTGTAGATTTCTGTAATTTATATTGAAAAATATTTATACATTATTTTAGAAATCTATCACTTTTTTGAGTGTTGTTAAAATAATTAGTTATATTTTTGCAAAAAAATGTCATTTGTTATATTTAAGAAATGTAACAGTAACTAGCTACACTTTTTAAAATATTACTATAAAAATACTAGTTATTTTTTAAATTATGTTAAATAATATACAAGTATATCATATTATCTTTATATGATGATTTTCCAAATTCCAAATTAATTTTTATTAAGTTTAACTTACATAAAGGGCTCTTGTAAAATGTTTGTTAGTCTATGGACAATTATTTTTATAAAAATATTAGCAAACTTTTAAACAAAAATTTTGAAAATAGTTTGTTGTTAAAGTCAGATAAATAATTAGTAAGCATAAACTGTTATTAAATATATTTACAATATTTAAAACTCTATTTTCCTGGCTTAGCTTGGCTGGGATTTGGACCAGACTGTTCCACTTATATAAGCATTTTAATGGTTTGAAATAAATAAGGTTTTAGAATGTATAGATGATTAACTGAAGCTGTTTTGATATCATCAAATCCATTAGCTGCTTTGAGAAGTTTGTATAATTCCCCTTGAGGAGCATATTGTAATATAATAAATAGCCTTCTTTCATCATGAAAATATCCAAAGTATTGAATAATATTTGGATGACTAAAAATGACAAGAAATTATTATCAAATAAAGAATAAAATTTCACTATAAATGTCTCATAATTTCAAGCTCTCTTATAATCTGATGTTCAGTACCATCTAAAACAATATGTTTTTTAAAGATCATCTATGATAAAAAAATTAACATTTAATATCTTTTATGGCATTTTATGTTTACTTTAAGACAGACTATTAATTTGCTCTTTCGTTCTCTAGCGAGAAATGCATTCCCATATTTCCCTCTACCAAGGGGTCCTCCTATATCAAAATCATCAATGTTCCAATTTCTGATTTAGAAAATAAATATATAATGGGTATTTTAAAATTTACTTTTTAGGTTCCAATGAATTCATAAAAATTTAAATTATTCGGCAAAAAAAAAATGCAAAATTAGAAAAAATGTTATTGACATCTATGATAGATATTTTTGAGGGATTGCTAAAGTTTGTATGGAAAACATCACAACACAATGTTGTATTGCAGTGATGAAACATAAAGTTTACCAATAGAGAAGCAATTAATTTTTTTATTTGCAATATTATCTCGGAAAATCCTTTATCATTCCAAACAAATTTTTACTACAATATTGAGAATTAGAAAATTTACATCTGTGAGATAATCGTATTTTTCATATTTATCGATAGAAAAATTACGAATGCAAGTTTTGATTTCCTTTTTAAAATTTTGCAAAATTGGTTTTGATCTTTCCTATTCAATAATATATTTCTTCACATCATATCTTGAGCTAATAAATAATACAATTGTATTTAATTTTTACTTTTAAAAAAGAATTAATTTTTAATTTAAAGACGAAATGATAATGTAATATAAAATATTTTTCTTTCTCTTCTCTCTCTTAAAAAAACCATTTTGAAATTTGCACCCCCAATGTATAAATTTTTATTAATGATATATTAAATTACCCGTTTCATAGGTTATTTGTTTCCTGGACCCAGCGTCTACATGAGCGAGAGGGGTAGAAACAGTTTGCATCCTATTTTTAGAGGGGGTAGGGGGTAAGCTGCTTTAATGGGATAGGATAAATTTTTTGAGGGGTTATCTATTAAATTTAGAGATAAAATAGGACAAAATTTATTGCTGTAAAAATTAATACTTTTATTATAGAATTATTATAATACAATTATCGACCAAATCTATATATTTCAAACAATCATACACATTGTTTTCCAAATAAAACTTTCTGCTATCCTTTTAAATGTAATTTAAAAGGTTTAGATATATAAGCAAGCTCATAATGCCATAATAATTGATTCATTGTAACTAATGGAGGTTTTAATTGAATTTATTATCTAAAAAATAAATTCTTTATAATCACAAAATAACGATAGTTGGTAGTAGAGATAGATTAATTTAAGTTATCCTTATAAATTCTCTTAAAAGAATATCAATATAATTATAAAGGTGAAAATAATAATAAAGAGAAACGGCCGCCGAAGAGCAGCATGGATAGAAGATGGGGGATACATTGAGTCGTGATTTTTTAGGGGGGTAGGCAAAGGTTTTTGAAGGGGGTATGCATCCAGTAAAAATCCTGTCATGTAGACGCTACCTGAACCGATGATATCTCTAAATGGCATTTAAGTCTTGGGTTAATAAAGATAAAATTGCAGTAATAATGGTTACTGAAACATAAATCAACTGCAACTCCGAATCTTTATTTTTCCCTTTTACATTAAGTAAAAGATGGTTGATATTAATGGATCGTTTAAATCCGCAAAGAATCATGCCGATAATTCATTTCTAGAAAATAGACCTGCGACATAGGCAGCGTCTAGATTACAGGATTTTCACTGGATGCAAACCCTCTTCAAAACCTTTGCCTACCCCCTATCTCTATTATCAACTATCGATATTTAGTAAAAGGGGATCTGGGGGCGAAGCCCCCAGCAAATTTGTAATCCCCCTCCCTTAGGATCCTGGCTACGCCTATGGATCGCATTATTATAAATTATTCGACTAAAATAATTTCTAGTATAAATAAATATTGAAAAATAAATATATATTAGTAGGATTTATTTGAGATTATTCCTATTTAATAAAATTTCCTGATGGGATAATAAAAAAAATTTTATAATTTGAAAATTGTCGATCATTTAACTGCTGTTCTTAGAAAGGTGATAAATATTTTTGATGATTTTACGTCAAAAATTTGAACAACTTTATAATACAAAACTAACTTCCGAAAATTCTTTTATGGATGAACAAAGTTTTTATTTTTATTAATTTTTCTATTATGAATCAAAATTCATTCACTAAATATAAATTATCCTTATAACATTATATTCTTGTTTTCTATCTTCCTATCTCAATATAATTTTTTTTTAAAATTATCATCTACATTTGAAAGGTTTATAAATTCTATGAGCAGTGTTTGAGATTAAAAGCTATAAATCCAAATAATTTTTTGTAAAAAATATTTTATATGTAAATCTGTATTAAATTTAATATAGATACACGTCTAAATATAATTTTTAAATAAAATTCATTAAATTTGTAATAAATTTTTTAAAAACTAACATCTCATCTTCATTGAGGATAATTTATAATTTGCATGAGCAGTTTGTAAAAAATATATTATAAGCTGATCTGTATAAACCAAGCTTTAATTTATTATACATAAAATTCTGATATTATAATTTTAGGATCCGATTATTTTGACGTATATTTTACTGATTACCAGGGGCGTCACTAGCCTTCATAATCTCAGGGGGCTCAACTAAAAAAATATAATGGGGAGCGAAGCCCCCCATACTCCCAATTTGCGGGCCTACGGCCCGCTTTTATATAAATATATTATACTTTTCTTAAAATTTGTTAACTCTGAACAATTTTTCTGATTTTCATATTTTGTCATTTATTATATTATGCATACAAAATAAACTGGCATATAAAAAATCACATAATGCAATAATATAATTCTTATCAACTTACATTGACAAAAAGTTATCAAACTAGTATAATTCTCTGTAACCATTTTAGACAATGTTTTATAGAATGGACTAATAAAGAAAAATTTATAGGCCTAAACCAAATCAACAATTTTTGAAGGAGAGAGTAAAAACGACCAATCCAAATTATAAAACTATATAGTGGTTAGAGCTTCCTCTTAGATGACATGATGGAAGCTAGATGAGTAATCGAGAAAATTATTGTGAGATATTAAATTTCTAAAAGATTATCTTCCATTTTAAATGATATATAAACGACTACACAGTTTACCATTATTGTTTACCTAAAATATGCAATTATATGCTCTCAGCCGTTATAATTATAATCTTAAATTATATAGCAACACAAATAATAGATGCTGGTTAATTTGCAGTAATAGCCATGACACTCACGATAAACTTATATTATAATTTATTATGTTGGATAAATTTATAAAATAAAAACACTAAAAATCTTTGGAAGAAATAATTATGCAAATATATTGAAGCCTGGAGTTATTTACACGGCAATGCCATATTAGAAATGAAACATTTTCTAATTATAAAATAAGGACCAGAATGATATGATGAAACAATTAAGATTTTATATATTGTCGCACCACCTTGATATATTATAAGCAGTTTGTAATAATATCAAAAATATACTTGTATTAAAAATTTAACTCAAAACTGTTTTTCGAAAAAGAAAAAAATAGCTTTCCTAAAAACACGTAAAAAAAGAGGAGAAAAGATACCAAATTTATTACATCTATTGCAGGATGAATAATAAAATATTTAATTTTTAAAATTATTTTAACTAAATAGATGGCGCCATTTATTAGTAAAATTTATTATAATATTAACTGTAATATAACTGTCAAATACGTCTATAAAAGTGGCATTATATCTAATATTTTATAAACAACTGTATATAGTAGAGGATTATAAACTATATGTTTACTTACTTTTTATAAAGAAACTAGTTGATAACCCGTCAAAAATGACGGGGATGAGAATTTTATTCGTTCTTTTACGATAATTCTTTTTACCCCTCCCCCTCCTCCTTCAGGCCAATTCCAACCCATTAAGACTAAGAGTGATGAATTGTCTTTTTTATTCAATGATTGATGAATAATATATTTTACCTTTATTTGATGATGGATGAATCAGAAATTTTCCTATTTTATGAGATGTGATTTCTAAATAATTATTTTAAATTACAAAAATGAATAAAAATGAAAAAATATCTCATATTAGCATCACACTGATCACCCGTCAAGAATGACGGGGAATTATAATTTGAGATGTGATTTAGAAATTTATATTTAAAATTACAAAAATGAAACAATATCTCTTATTAGCACCCTAAATACTAACATTATTTACCAGAGCTCCTGTTAGTCAGAATTGCTGTTCACTCCCCACCGAGTGAAGGTAGGAGATAGATTTTAGGGGAGCAATATTTTGGATCTTGGCCACTTTTTCTACCTTTATTTTGATAATAAGATCTTTTGAATTTTTTTCCTAAATCTTCTAGAGCAAGCGCGAATCATATCAGATTTATCTTATAATAATAAAGTGTTATAGAATAGCTATTAAATGCCTTTTTATTTAAATAACCAATCTTAAAAACATATAACTGTATATTTATAAAGCTGGAGGTCTAAAAGGGGTTAGTATTATACTGGTCATTAGTGTCCAAGAATTTATAAGTCATGAGCATGGATTTTTCTTTATATCTTACTATTTAGATTTTAAATTTTTATAAAATTTTAACTATATAGGTGAATAACAATTAAAAATACAAATTCTCTTTTACCTAATAATCCTATCCTTTCAATAAAAGAGGTAACTTTATTTCCTAAATTATTTTTTCATTTATTTTATAAGTCTATTTAAATTTTCCCCACCAATAAAGGATCTGTAATAATTAATTTTTCCTATTAAGCACCATCAAACCTATCATTGACCCTTAATAAATATAAAAATTTGATCAAGTATATATTTTTCATTTTATCTGACTTTAGATTTTTATGAGTAAATTTATACCCTAATTTTGCGTAACATATTAATTTACTATGTTATTTATATATTTTTAAAATTATCTATATTATTTTATATAGATAAGCAATATACCTAGGAATCCAATCTTATTTTCTATTTATTTTAGGATAAGTCCATTTCAATTAAATCTAACAGAGACAGAGAAAGGATCAAATTTAATAAATATAAAATTTACATCTATACAAACAAAATGATTATATTATTCATTTGCCTCCAACTATTCTCATTTCTAAAAAGGTTTTATATTTTGTTTAATTATTATTTATTGCTATTTAAAATATTGATTTTTTTAAATTTAACTTTTTTGTTTAATTATTATTTATTGCTATTTAAAATATTAA